ACACTGGACAGGGGGTCTGGGCAGGCAGGGGGACAACTGGACAGGGGGTATGGGCAGGCAGGGGGATACTGGACAGGAGGGGCTGGCCAGGCAGGGGAACACTGGACAGGAGGGCTGGGCAGGCAGGGGGACACTGGGCGGGGGCTGGGCAGGCAGGGGGTCTCTCCTAGGTCCTGTCTCTGTCCTGTGCACTGGCCTACGGTCCTCGCTGCTTCCTCAGAGTGCCAGTGCCCAGTGTCTCACCTGGCCAGACGGGGGTGGGGGGGCGGGGCGGGGGGGCATGGCACCTGCCCCAGGCCAGGGCTGCTCTGGTGGGGGAGGGTGCTCCCCAGGGCGGCGGCAGCATAGCTGGAGGGCTCCAGCTGTGCCCAGCACATGTCACCCGGGGCCCAGGAGCCCTCCACGTAGGCTGGCGGCTGGGAGCAGCTGGCCACAGGCAGGCCCTGGGACAAAGGGCGCTTTGAGCAGCCTGCATGCCTGCGTCGCGCCCCGGCCAGCTGACCCTCCCAGGGACGCCGAGGCTGGTCTGCTGTGGCTTACGGGGCCCACATTGAGTTGGAACAGCTGGCCCTAAAGCCCACTGGCTGGTCTCTGCTACAGGGACCATTATCCCCCCTCATTGAAGCCCCCAGGCTTAGGAGGGCAATACCCTAACCCCAGGACCCCACAGCCCCCGGCCTGTGCCAGGAACTCCAGCCAAGGGTCTCGCAGGCCTGCTTCCCTAAGTCTGCCCTGTTCAGCATTCACAGGGCCACCAGAGAGGTCAGCCAGGCCTCCCTCCCTCTCACTCTCTGGGCCTTCCTGCCCTGACCACCCCTCTGTAAGGCCCAGTCCTCAATCCTCAGTCGTTAATGTTTAAAATTAACTTCTCCTTATGAGATAACATGACGGTGACATCAGAGACGCCTCTGTGAGCTTCCTTCATCGTCCCTCCCAGAGGGGACGCAGCCTCCCTGCTGGCCACCTCACTGCCCTCTGCGTGATAGTGGCCTGCAGGGTCTCCTCACAGTGTCCAGACCCACGAGCTGGCAGCTGGGTCCTGGCTGTCTGACTCTCTGGGGCCATAGACTGTGGCTGCTGGTGGCCTAGAGGCCCAGAGGACACCCAACCCAAGGGGCTGCCAGGCTGCAGGGCAGGACCTCACTGTGGTGCACCCCACGTGTCCCAGCATGCACTGCTGCACTTGGTGGCTGGTGGCATTCTAGCCACAGGGCTACACAAACCTGGTCCAGCTCCGGAGGGCTCCCACCACCCAGGGGGACCCCGGTGCCTTCAGCCGCGCTCCTCCCTCCCCCTGGCCCCCGCTTGCTTTCATTTTTAAACTGTGGTTAAGAGAGACACGACCTAAGATTCCCCATCCGGACCGTGGTTAGGCACGTGGTCCAGGGCGCTGGGCACAATCACCCTGCTGTGCGCTGTCACCGTCACCCAACCCCAGAACATCCTCATCTTCCCAAACTGGCCTTGTTCCGTCAAACGCTGACTCCTGCTCTCTGCCCTCTCCCTCCCTCCTACCTGGTGACGTGGGGCCTCGGGCTAGAGACACACACTGCTTGTCCTCGGTGCCTGGCCTGCCTGCCTGAGCAGTGTCCCCCAGGTGAATGCCTGTCATGGCCTGCATCCGCATGTCTCTCCGCTGAGGGGGTGGACGGCCTTCCGCTCACTCAGGGCTGATGTGGCCGTGGCCACGCCGCGTCTCCTCAGCCCTGCTTCCTGTCTTTGGGTGCAGACCTGGCTGGAACTGCCTAGCTGACATGATGATGTGGGTTTTTTCCCGGAATTGTGGCCTTTAAGGAAGAAAGAGAACTTTCTAGAGCAGTTCCGGTTCTCAGCAGAAGCGAGTGGACGGAAAGTCCACGTCCCCACTTGACAGCCTGAGGGCGCAGGCTTCTGTGGCCTGTTCTGGGGTGGCCGCCCTAGCTGCAGGAGCTGCGTCTCAGGGTGTTTCTGCCTGCCTTTCCAGGGCTGGCGATGCTGACACCCCTGCACGAGTTTAAGGCCAGTGGCGGATCTTTGCAAAGACGCCCACCCAGGTCCTAACGACCTTAACCGAGTCACTAGCTTTGTCTTCTCATTGAGTCGTGTGACCACTGCCAGGTGCAAGGAGCGGCAAGAGGCCCGTGGGTCTGGGTTTCTGCTTGGGGTGGGCCAGGGGCTGCGTCCGGCAGACGGGCTCTGCAGGGGCTCGTTGGGAAGTGCACCTGGAACCAACTGCCTTCAAGTCTGGTCAGAAAAGCCCACAGCTGGCCGCAGAGGGCCAGTGCGGGGAAATGCCCGGCCTCCCCTTGTGCCCATGCTCCCAGGGCACCTGGAGGGTCTCTGATGGCGCTTGATGCCTGGCCGCCTCCTCCCCGGCCTGGGAGGAAGGAGGCGCTGCGGTCATGGGGCCTTTAGGCCTGTGCCTCCTCAGGGCCCTTGCCCCTCACTCCAGCCTGGCCTAGACTCTTGTGTCATCCAGTACCCAGCTGTCCACTCGTGGCTGCCATGTCTCTGGGTCACCACTCCCTCCCAGGCCTATCATGTCTGGGATTCTATCGCTGCAGCCCACAAGCCACTGGCCTGTACCCCTTTCCCCACCATGGGGCTGCTCCCAGACCCCTGCACTCCCAGGTATGTCCCTGTGGGGTAGCATCTGCCCTCTGAGATGGGGCCTGGCCTTGCTGCCCCAGGCCCACTTCCAAACCTGAGGATGACCATGCCCCATCCCACCTGGCAGACCCTCCTTGGGCCCTAGTCCTCCCCTCTGCCAGGCGACAGCAGGTGACCCCACAGCCCCCCTGAAAAACCGGCAGCAGAGGCCCTGCTGTGGGAGGCTTGGTGGAAGCTGAGGATCTGAACTTGGTGTGGAGACATGTCCCCAGACCTTCCTCCAGGAAGCCACCTGAGCCAGGAGGCAGCCTTGCTTTGGTCTGAAGGACAGTGGCCAGGATGAGTGGCCCCTGCATTCCTCTATTCTGACTGGTCTCAGCAGAGACCCTGGCTCCTGGCCCAGGACGCCTCCTCACATCAGTGGACGGCACTCAGGGTGGTGCTCCTCGCCCTGGGCCAAGATCCTGACCCTGGTCTTGCAGGTGGCTCATGGTTCTCCCCGAGAGGCCCTTTGGGAGGCAGAGATGCTGGGCACCTTCAGGGGACGCCCAGGGCTGGTGGTTATCAGTGGGTGGTCCTGCAGGAGTGGTGGGTGGGCCTCCCTGAGCTGTGGGGGAGCCGGCAGACCTGGAGGGTAGCAGGCAGGCACAGTGAGGTGGGGAGGGCATCCCACATAGGCAGCTCCGAGGACCCAGGGCCCCTGGGTGCCTGGGCCAGCAGGGAGGCTCTCAGCAGGCACTAGGCCAAGATACCCACGTGGCAGCCCGTGGACCTTGACCCTACAGTGGACAGTGGGGGGCACAGGAGAGGGACCGACGGCAGATTCCTGGGACACACCTGGGCCTTTAGTTCCACTTCATGGCTGGTTGTACGGCCTGAGCTGCAGGAGAGAGCCTCAGCCCACCCCCACCAGAGCAGAGCGCGCCAGGCTGGGAGCATGGTGGGGTCAGCAGGCTCTGGCCTGCCGCCTGCGGGGGTGTGGCAGAGGTTGGCTCCCAGTGCCCTGCACCAAGCCAGCGGGCATTGGGGTCCGAGTCGTTCCCCATCACTCTGCCCCTGACCCCTCCAGCGGGGTGGCTGCGCTCCCTGAGTCATCCAAATGCCACCACTTCCAGGTGTACCCAAGCACATCAGCGCTTCAACTCTGCTTAGGATGCTGGGGAAGGCTTTTAAATAATCGAAAAGTACTTCAACATGAGGGAAACTTGCTGTGTGGTCAGTCAGCGGGCACGGTCTGCTGCCCCTGGGGTGCTATTGCTTCCCACCAGGGCCACCAGTGGTCAGGGGAGCCATCTCCCATGAAGCCACGGGCACCCCCACATCGGCGTCAGGCACCAGGAGCTTGGTGTTTGATGTTAGCCAAAGACACACCGTGCCACGACAGTGTCCCTGAGCACCAGCTCCTCAGAGACCCCAGCCACGCCAGTGCCTGCTTCTGGTCTCTCAGCCCCTTCCTCCCTCCATCCAGCCGGCAGATGCACCCTGAGTGCCAACCAGGGCAGGCTCGGCTCTGGGAAGGGGGACGCATCTGCCCGGGTGGGCTCAGCCACTCCCCAACGCCACCCGCCCAAGTTCCCAGGAGCTGAGGGCAGAGCTGGGACCAGAACCCTCGGAGAAGCCACCGAGCCTGTGCTGCCAGCACCCCTGGCTCTCCCTTGGGCCACCCCAGATTCTGGGTCACATTCCCCACGCTTTTTTGCATGAGAAAGGCATTAAACTTCTCCGAACTGTCTCCCGTTGTCCACTGAGCTGGCCCTGAACACAGGCTGGATGGCGTGAACATTATTCTGTCCTAATTAACATTTGGGAGCCAGAGATGGCAGCATCCGGCCACCCTCTCAGTGATTCCCTGGCAGGCCAGTGGTGTGGGGCAGCGCCAGCCAGTCTCACCCAGTCGCACAGTGGCCTTCCCATGCTGGACTCCCAAGGGAGGGCGGGCAGGGCTCCAGCTGGAGCAGGCCTGCAGGCCGCACGCGCTGTGGCTTCGCGGGTTTGTGCCGTCCCCTGCTCCACATGGGGGACTGGTTCAGCCTCCAGCCTGGGCTCCCCGCAGGGCCTCCTGCATGCTCACGTTGGCTGGGAGCTGGATCGTGGGCTGCAGGTCATGCCAAGTGCACACTGGCATTAGTACTCACCTCGCCCACCACGGTACAGATGGGGACATTGAGGCCGTCTTCCTGCCCCATTGGAAACTTCTGCCTTGTGGGGTTGGTAGGAAAGAGAGGGCGGCACAGCAGCCATCAGGGACCCCGGAAAGTAGGCGTCCCAGGGCTGCCTGCCTGGTCCTGGGCGGAAGGGCAGTCCTCAGCAGCCTGGGGGAGCACAAGGGAAGAGGCTGCTCACTTCAGACACCCTGGTTCCTGGGACAGTGGCCACGTGCTGGGAACCTGGCTGGCTGCCCTCAGGCTGCGAGCGGGCCACCCCTTGGCAAAGCAGCCACAGCTCTGCCCTCCAGACACCGTGCGTAGGACAGGTCCCCGGGGCCACACCTGGAGGCAAGATGCTGACCCCTCCCCGAGTGCTGGACCACAGGGAGCTGGGCTGAGGCCCGGCCCCACACTGGGCCTTCCCTACCATTTCAGGGGCTGTGAGAAGGAGCAGTAGTGGTATGGGCTCGGTGACAGCTGGGGCAGGCCTCAATGTCACCTCTGGGGTCCCATCGGGGATGGGAACCCTCTGCCTCACTGTTTTGTTGAGAAGGCTAATGGTCGCTTCTTCTGGACTTGGTTCCACACCATTCTTCCTCATTTGTCCACTCTCTGTCCCCTCATCCAACCCTGTCCCTCTCTACTAGAAATTTCTGTCCATCTGTCCAGTCCCCAGAGCACCTGACTCCAGAGCTTGTGGGGGCCTCTGCACCCTCCTCGCACCCCCAGCCCCCACCCGGGCCCTCGCACACAGGCCCAGTCCAGGCCACCAGAGGCAGCTGCCATGCCCCAGTGGTGTGGCCGTGCGTGAGACGAGGGGACAGTCCCAGAGGGCAGATGTTCTCCACCCCACCTTGAGATGCAAGGGCCTGGGTTCTGGGGCATCATCTGGGGCTTAAATTAGTTCTGGCCACTGTGTGGTCAGCCAAGGGCCCCGACACACAGCTGCCCCGCCCTGGCTCAGCAGGACCCTGTCTGAAGAGCAGCGACTCCACTGGGGCCCACTGTTGGGGGCCCTGGGTTTAGGCCACTGGCTTCTCCAGGTGGGTGTCACACGTAGGCACCATCTTTCCCCCAACAGGGAGGAGACCTGCTTCTAGGGTGGCCTTTGGGAAAGGACAGTGGCGCGGGAGCCGTCGGTGCCGCGAGCTCACGCCCTCCCCCCTCCTCAGGAGATCGTGCTGGTGGTGTTCTTTGGGACGGAGTACGTGGTCCGCCTCTGGTCTGCAGGCTGCCGCAGCAAGTACGTGGGCGTCTGGGGACGGCTGCGCTTCGCTAGGAAGCCCATTTCCGTCATTGGTGAGTCGCACCCCCCCACAGACGCTTTCCCCCTGAAATCACCCCAATTGCAGCTACCACCAGCATCCTCCAAGGACCCAGGGCCCTGCTGCTCTGCCTGCCTGTGACGGGCAGGACGCCACCCAGCTGGGCGACCACCCGCCTGGTCCCTGCCAGGTGAGACTGCTCAGGAGCTGGCCTTTCGCAGCCTTCTGGGACCCTCCTCGGCACGGCTGGGCAGTGGGACAGTCACCATGGTGGCCTGAGGTCCAGGCTCCGTCCTCTCTGGCCCCTGCGGCTCTGGCTGGGGCCAGGGTTCCCGTGGGTGCTCAGGGCCTCTCCAGCTCTGGCACTGCTGGCTCCCCACCCAGTTGCTCCTGCGTCCTGTCATTGGGCCCCATCCCCTTCCCAGGGAGTGGGCCGTGGCCTGTGCCCCATGGCTGCCACGGGTCACATGAGCCACCCCTCCTCCACAGACCTCATCGTGGTGGTGGCCTCCATGGTCGTCCTTTGTGTGGGCTCCAAGGGCCAGGTGTTCGCCACGTCCGCCATCAGGTACGCAAGCTTGGCCCTCCCTCCCTGCTGCCTCCCCCCACAGGCTGGGAGGGAGCTCATCGGCCACCACACGTCCCTCCTCCCAGGAGGGTGCTGAGCAGGGGCTGGAGCGGGCGGGTCCTCGAGGCCTCAGGCAGCCCCGGGTGCAAGACCCACACCAGAGCTCCTGGCTTCTGGGACTCGGGTGTGACCTGACTGTCTGCTGCTCAGATATAAAATGGGGTGACCCTAGGCCTCCCCAGAAGGCAGTCTGGGGACCAGAGGAATTTGGAAATGTCAGATGATCCCAGCCGTGACCCTGTGGCGAGTGGGTGGACAGAGCCAGTTTTGAGGGGCTGCACTGGGAAGAGGATTCAGAGGTACCTGACCAGGGGTCTGCCTGGAGGTGAGATGGTCCCAGCCAGCACAGAAGTGCACCCGTCTCACCTTCCCGTCCACTGTCCCCTGGGCCCAGGTGCCTCCGGGACAGCTGTGGTCCTCTCAGTCCTGCTGTCTCCTTCCCAGGGGTATCCGCTTCCTCCAGATCCTCCGGATGCTGCATGTGGATCGCCAGGGAGGCACCTGGCGGCTCCTGGGCTCTGTGGTCTTCATCCACCGCCAGGTGGGTGGTCCAAGGTGGGGTGCTGGGGACCAGCTGAGGGCGAGACAGAGGGCAGAACAGTCATTACCAGGACAGCTCAACACACACGTGGCCCACCTGGGGCGAGGGGCAGGGTGTGAGTACTCTGGGCCCCAGTTGAGCAACCGAGGGCCAGGTAGGTGCCAGGGCACAGGGTGCAGGGATAAGGCCCAGAATCCCACCCCCAACCTGAGCCTGCTGGGGCACTCTGCCCACACTTATGTGCCAGCACCTTTAGCCTGCCAGGCCAGTGTGAAAATAAAGCCACCTTCCTTTAAGCTGGGGACCAAGGACGGTTAGGTAAACGGAAGAGAAAAGCAAAATGCAAAAAACCGTGGTCTCTGAGGCTCAGAAACCTAAATCCAGGCAACCACAGACAACCCCATGACAGGGGCTCCGGACCCAGCACCCTTTCCCATGGGCCTCCGACTGGCACAGGCCACACCTGCCCAGGCTCAGAGGGACAGGGGGTGCCCTTCATCTCACAGAAGTTCCACCCCACTGTGATCAGTCACTGGCCAGCAGAGGCTGCCCAAGTTAGTCTAAGGCGCCAGCTGGAGTTGGCTCGCTCCTGGGTGGCAGAACCCACGCCCACCATCTCGGAGCTGTGACCCATGGAGTTTCATCCCTGTGGGCGAATCACACTGCGTCCACGCGGCATGGCCTGGTAGATGCTGGACCTGCTGCCAAGGCAGGGCCTCGCTGCCTTTTATGTCGACCTGAAGCCTTTTCACTGAGGGCGCCCAGTCCAGGGTGCTGCAAGCCGCGGGCTGACGCTGTCCCTTCTGCTGGCCTAGGAGCTGATAACCACGCTCTACATCGGCTTCCTGGGCCTCATCTTCTCCTCCTACTTTGTGTACCTGGCCGAGAAGGATGCAGTGAACGAGTCGGGTCGCGTTGAGTTCGGCAGCTACGCGGACGCGCTGTGGTGGGGGGTGGTAAGTCGGGGCCTCTGGGATGGGGTGTCCTGGCTGGGCCACTGGGGCCTGAGCCGAGGAGGTGCAGGACGTGAGCTCTACTTCCCAAACCCCCTGCCTCGTTGGTAGGGGCTCCTCATCTGAGCAGAACCCTGTGCCCAGGTTCACACTTGAAGCCAGCAGTGCAGGCCCCACACTCAACACAGCACGTTCTGGGGTCCTCAAGTTCTTCAACTTTGAACTGGTGTTTTGAAGAAGTCTGAGGGGCCAGGCTGGGCCACCAGTGTCCCTCCAGGAGTTGGTGGCTGTCATATAGCCTGGGAGTGCTCCATCGTGGACTGGCTTCAGGGCTGCTCCTGCAGGGACGTGGCGCCCCCAGTAGCAGTGGCTCCGGCGGGAGTGCAGCTGTAACTCCACCCACCTCCGTGCCATCTCCCCTCAGCCAGAGGCCACCAGGCCTGGGAGATGCCTTCACACCGGGCAGCCCTGGGAGGAGGTGCAGAGCCTGGGCAGTTCTCAGGCCAGACTCAAGCCATGGCTCCCGAGCTCAGGCGTGCTTGGCCAGGGAGAGCAAGGCTGGTGATGGCCCTGGCTGGGACCCAGCAGCAGAGAGGAGAGAGGGCAGCCCACAGAGCTGGGCCGTGCCTTGGGGAGCAGCACAGGTTCTGGGGCACGGAGTGGGGCAGGCCACCGTGCCCGCCCAGGCCCGGGAGCCCAAGAGCTGTGTTGGGGAACGAAGGGCCTTGCTCACAGGCTCTCGGGCTCCTGTCCTTCCCCCACCATAGGGGAGGCCACTGAGCTCATGGAGGGTATGGGCACAGGGTCCTATGTCCCCCATGAGGTGGCCACACAGTAGGAGCTCCTGATGCTGGCCAAGTCGGTGTGTTTTCTAGAAGCTTCCAACATGCCAGGCAGCTCCGGGAAGTCCAGGACATGCTAAACGTGCTGACACAGCTCCCAAGCTGGGCAGGCCCAGATGCAGCCTCTGCCCGCCTCCTGGGGGCCCGTGTCCCTCGGCCCTGGTGTGGCAGGCCTGAGCAGGTTTGGGCAGGAGGGCTCAGCCTCCAGGAAGGGAGCCTGCCTGTTGGGGGGCCTGCATCCCTGGTGACATGGCAGCCCTGTGTGGGGGCACAGGCCGCCCGAGCCAGCATCCCCTGGTGGTTGATGGGCAGTGGAGGCCAGGGTGCAGCTGGAGCGAGTGGGCGACGGCCTGTGGGAAGGCTGGTGAGGGGTGCCCAGTCCTGGCGCTGCCCCGCCTGCCTTTCCAGCCGCCTGTTGGAGCTGCTCCCCGACCTGGCCCCCGGCCCCGGGCCCCCCGGCCCCCCGGCCTTCAGCGGAGCCGCGCTCCCACTCCCACACCTGTGCAAACATCCGCCCGCCGGCCAGGAACACGGCCCCTTTGTGCCCGGCTTGGCACCGGTGCCCCTGCCTAGCCGTCAGCTGCAGCCTGCGCCTCGGCCACCATGCACCCTGGCCTGGCCATTGTCCCTGTCAGGCCCTGCACCCTGGCTGCCCAGGGCCCCCCGCTGCCCTGCTTAGGGGCCAGCAACTCCATTCACAGAGCGGCTGCCCCTGCAGCTGTCGGCGGGAGAGGCCCCGAGGCGGAGTTGGGTGGTGTTCCTGGCACTTCTCGGAGGGACAGAGCTGAGCAGCGCAGGCCGGGGGCCAGGGGGCTGGGGGCCGAGTCCCAAGCACTTGTCTCCTCTCGTCCTGGCTTCCCTCATCCCCCGGGGAGTGAAGCAGCCCCCCAGGGCTCCCCGTGGGGCAGATGGGGGACGGGTGGGCCAGGGAGAGGCACTGTATTGGGAGCTACCACAGGGCAGCGGGGGCTTTCAGGAGGCCCGGCCTTTCTGACCCCTGCTGCGCGCCGTGGGCCTGGCCTGGACTCAGCCCCCCACATACCCACAGCCCAGAAGAGACTTAAAGCAGGGATCCTAAGATAGGCATCTGGGCGCAGAGTCCACCTGGACAGGTGTGCACCTCCCTTGCCCAGTGGACTGGAGACGGGGTGCCTCGGTGCCCAGCCCATGCTTGTGGGGAGCGTGAATCCACAGGTTGATCTGCCCGTCTCGTGGCTCCCCGGGCAGCGGCGGGTTTGCTTCCAACACCAGGCAGTTTCCACAGTAGATGTCTGTGGCAGTGCCAGGGCCAGGCGTCCTGATGCAGGATGGCAGTGTGCTCCTCGGGGCTCAGGGCTCCTCCTCACCTCTTGCTGCTGGGGACTCGGGTCCTGACCCCCCCATCACCCTTTGCACGTCTCTCCTGTCTTAGGAGGAGGCTACTCTGGATTTAGAGCCCACCCACACAGTCCTCATCCTCGTCCTGTCTTTGAAGACCCTATTTCCAGATAAGATTGCCGTCTGAGGGCCAGTGGGTGTGACCTGGGGGAACAGGGTTCGGCCCAAGACCCCGGTCGGGGTCAACGCTGTGGGCAGGCTTTCCCCTGGCCGGCTCCGTTTCCACGGCTGCCAAGCAGGGCGGGGGCTCCATGCCCAAGAGCCCCCTCCCGTCCCCTCTCTGGGGAGGCCTCCTGGGCCCCGAGTGTGGCGCCCGAGCTCGGCTGCGAGGTGTCTGGGGAGACTTTCAGACTTCTTCTTTGCCCTTGGAACAAAACGCGTTTGTTTGTGTTGAAGTTTGAGTGCAGGCCCAGCAGCCCTTGCCCACACGGGCCCCTCTGTGCAGCGCCTGGGGGTCTCCGGGAACGGGCGGCTGCGGGGCTCTGTTTACCCCGTGTGTCTAAATTTAGAGTCTTGAGTGGCAAGGCCGGAACCCGCCCCTGCATCCAGCCTCTAACAGCCCGACAGCCCTTCGCCTTCACCTGGGGCTTCCGGGAAGCGCCGCCTCCTGGGCTGTGCTGTGTCCTGGCAGAGCCAGCCGAGAGGCCAGGGCTGAGGGGCCTGGGCGAGCAGGCCCTGTGGGACTGTGGGCGTCAGCAGCACCTTTGATGCTGGAGAAGCCACGCTGTGGGACGGGGGGACAGCACGCAGCCCCATCCAGACAGGGCTCCTCCTGCCTGGGCTCCACGCGGAGCTGCAGTGCGAGGCAGCGAGGGCCGGGCCCACAGGACTCCGCCAGAGAGCTCCCTCAGATCCAGCTGCGTTGCCACATGAATATGAGTCCAGGAGACAGGTCCCGCTTCCTGCACCTGCCCACTGGCCAGCACCTGGGGGCTTTATCACCTGGGCCCAGCAGGCCCATGAGGATGGTGCACAGGACTGACTTCCTCTTGGGGAAGGGACTTCAGCTCAGGCCAGAGAGGAAAGCCCCTGGAAGGCTCATCAGCAGAGCTCCCACCTACTCTCCAGCCCACAGACAGTCAGACAGACAGCTTCAGAAGCACAAGGAACGGACACAGGCGGGAGAGCAGCCAGGCGGGGTAGAGCCCCAAATGGCCTGTCACAGCCCACGTTCACCACGTCCCAGCTGGGTGGCCCTGCGCAGGTCACCCAACCTCTCTGAGCCTATCTGTGGCACGAGAATAAGGTCTGGACCTAACTGCAGGGATTGTCAGAGTTAAACCAGTGATACACAGAGAGCCTGGGCACCCGGTGTCCCCTGTGGTGTCTGGGCTGGTCCCCATCCTCCATCCTCCCCGAGAGGCTGTTTCAGAAAGGACAGAATGAAGTCTGCTGTTTCCAGGTTCCCAGGCAGCCAAGGGGACCAGGAGTTGTGGGCTCCCCAGATGCAGGAGGGAGGAGGGCAGCAGGCTCTGCTACTCAGGAGGGTGCTTGGTGTCACAGCCTGGTACTGGCATGGGTGTCTGTGAGCCGAGCACCAGTGGCCTGCGTGCCCGGGGCCCAGGGGGTACTAGCAAGGAGCGACAGCGGCTGAGTCCTGTCTCCCTGGGTCTGCTGGCCCAGGGGTCATGCCGATCTGCCTTCCTGACGGCTGGCCACTGGGGACAAGTCATAGGCACAAGGACCATAAAACAGCTCATTCCTGAGCTGCTTGCGTCTGTGAATTCAGGAAAACAAACATCTCTGCAGGGAAGGCAGCTTCCTGGGGAGAGCCGGGGGGGCCGCGGCGCTCTGGGAGCAGACGGCGGCTGGGCATTGTGGCCATCAGCAAGTGCCTTCCACGGCGGGGGCCCACCCGCCAACGTCCTGCTCTCCCTGTCCTCCTCCCAGCCCTGCCTCCTTCTAGCCGCCCAGCCCCAGCCGTGGGACCCCTTTAGATCCAGGAAGTGAGGGCGCGGCCTCGGAGCCCCGCGGAGGCAGCAAGGCAGGCGGTGGCCCAGCCCTGCCCAGCGGACGCGGTCTAGCCTTGACTTACACCTTTTAAATGAATCAAAATATTTTGCCAAAAATACCACGAGTAACTTAAAGATATTTAAATGATGCAAGACTGTTATTAACACGATGTTTACTAGTATGCACAGGTCGCTGGTGCCCCCCAACATTGTGCCAAGGTAGCTGTGCCCGCGGGTCTGTGCCCTGCAGGGCAGCTGCTCTCAGACTGTCTTGGGACTCCTTCACACTCCAGCGGAGCACTGGGTGTCGTGGGTTGTAGCTATGGGTACTTAAAGAAAACAAGAAAAACTTCAGCACCTCCATGCTGATTGAGTTAATAGGCCCATTATGTTTCTGTACATAAAATGATTTAAAAAAAAAAAGTCACTAAAGGAAAAAAGTGCATTTCTACCCGTCGCCATGTGGCCTGGCTCTGGGAGAAGGTTAGTCCCCCGTGGTGCTGCCCACACACCACAGCATCTGCCTTGTGCCCAGGATGGCGAGCAGGTGAGCCTGACAGGTGGCATCTCACCATGTGGGACTGGCCTGGGGTAGGTGAGCAGGACATAGGGCCCCAGCCTCACCCACTTATCACAGGGATGTGACCCGTCCTGACATGGCCCTCTTCCCTGCTTCTCCAGCCCACCCACCACGGCCCCCTCCCACTCTCATCTTCTTGACCCCATGCAGGATGGGCATACCCGGGGCAGGGGACTTGGCTTTGCCCGGGATGGCTCCTGGAGGTGCCCTACAGAGCAGCGGCAGAGCCGAGTAGAGGGGCGATGGCTCAGGGGTTCTGAGGGGCGGAGAGGCTGCAGGTCAGTGACTGAGAGCAGCGGCTTCTCTCAAGGTTGTCAGAGACATAGGAGTCTCCCTGGTACCCGTGCCCCTGGTACTCATGCCCCCGGCCTGCAGGGGCCGTCCAGGCTGGGTCGGGCCCTTCTGGCCAGTTCTGGTGCCTTGGCAAGAACTTGGAAAGCATCTGGACTAGAAGAGAGGCAAGGCCTTGCCCAGCCCCTCCCCTGGCCTTCTGTACCAAAGTGTCTAGGGTGGGGCTGTGCCCTGGGGCAGGGCAGGTGCTGTGTCTCAGATCCCCTGTCCTGTGGCCCCCCAGAGAGGCAGCCATGAGCCAGCTTCACATGGGTGCAGGACACCCGCAGGGCTCCTGAGCCACCCGTGGCCTGGCTTCTGCGCACAGGTAGCTGGGCCATGCTTAGTGGAACGAGGGCAAGCACGTGTGCCGTGTGAGCAACACGCCTGGGCCCACGCACGACCCGTGTGCGGCATGCGGGGTGTTCTTGTGTCTGTGGCACGTTTGTGAGCGCGTGCCCATGTGCACAGGCCAGGGGTCCATGCTGAGAGCCCACAGTGAACGGCTACCCATGCACTCTGCCCGGAAAGCTCCATGTGGGCAGCGGTGGACAGAAGGACCTGGCCTGGGCGAGCGCTCAGTCTGGGTGCCAGTGCCCATGTGCTCTCCTCTGTTGAGTGTTGCCAGCCCACCAAAGCCACAGTCCACCTGGTGCTTGGTGACATGCCGATGGGCCACGCAACCCTCCTGTCCCTGGCCTCCCTCTGCTCCCCCCCACACGGTGTCTGTGTGCGTCCCTGCCCGGCTCTCCCCCGGGGGCCTGAGGGCCACTGAAGTTGACACTCTCTCTCCAGGCCACCCTCAGCTGGCGTCTGTCGAGTGGTGCGGTGCCACTCACACTGGCATCCTGGGGCAGGGGGTCAAATGGGGATGCCGTATAATTCCCGGCTTGGAAGGTTTGCCTGGGCCAGCAGGGGTGGTTGTCACTTGTTCCCAGAGGGTAAGGGCTGGACTGTCCAGCCTGGGCATGAGAGCATGTGCCTGCCAGATGAGTCCGGCCTTGCAGCACCTGGGCCGCCTCAGTAGGCTCCGGGCCCACCCTGGAGGGGTCTGGGGAGACTCAGGTGTGACCCAGTGGCCTGGGAAGGGCCAGCGTGGGCTCCTGCGTTCCCACAGGACACCATGTTCAGCCTCGCCAGAGGCCCAGGAGCAAACCTCAGATGTCAGCAGGGGCCAACCTGGGTGGGGGAGCAGCCCCCGCTCCTCTTGTCCCACCACATGCCCTGGACAGAGGGTCCCCCACTGAGAAGAAGGCTCGAGCCTGTCCTGTTCTCAGAAAAGAGGGAAAATGAAACATCTGGAGCCCTGGGTGGCGGCAGGAAGTGGCGCGTCATCCCACCCAGCTCTCTGAGGATGGCTAGCCTTGGTGGGCGCCCCCGTCCCCCCTGGGGGCTGGTGCACAATGTTGGTGGCCGGGGGCTGGGGGCAGGTGGTGGGCCAGGGAGGCCAGGCCTCCCCTGGGTGGGCCTATGGCCACGTGCCCCACGCTGGTCACACCAAGTCCTTCTGGATGTCCCGCTGGGCTGTGTGTGGTCTGGAGCTGTCAGGGCCTGGGGACACCCGCGCCATGCCACCCTTCTCCTGAGCTGTGGGGCCAGAGTCTCCTGTCGGTCTCTGCTCACCAGGACGGTGGGTCCAGCTGGGCAGAGGCCCTCCTGAGGCTCTAGGCCCACAGATGCTGACTGCTGCACGCCTCCTTGCAGGTCACAGTCACCACCATTGGCTACGGGGACAAGGTGCCCCAGACCTGGGTTGGGAAGACCATCGCCTCCTGCTTCTCCGTCTTCGCCATCTCCTTCTTCGCACTCCCAGCGGTAGGTGCCCCTGGGGGAAACGCGGTCCCTCCCTCCGCAGACCCACTCATAAAGGGGCTCACTTAGCCAGGACGGTGCATGCCTTCCGGAAGGAGCTGTCCTCCAACACCTGCCTCCCTGGGCCTAGGACATGGCCCTCCCCTTCCTGCAGCTTCCGGGGCTCCTCTGTAACAGGGTGGGAGGTGGCCTGGCACAGCTCTGCATGCCAATGGTGGGGTGCAGACGAGGAGGCCCCGGAGGTGCCAGGCCCCTGCCGAGGCGGAGCGCATGAGCCTCCAGGAGCACTGCGGCTGGGAGGACGGCGTCACCAGGGAGCCAGGGCAGAGCCTGGCGGCTCACGAGCTCACTGGGAGTGTGGCTGTGCACGCACGTGCCCTGTGGGTGTGCGGGCAGGTGTGCAGGCAGTGAGCACTACCCATGGAGTATGTACACGCTGCGTCCCCTGTGCGTCTGTTACATGTACGTCCTCCTTACAAGTGCACACGGCATCTGGTGCAGGCTGGTGTATCTGCATCGTATTCACACAGGCATGTTACGTGTGTGTGCACGGAGAATGCGTAACTCACATGCGATCACAGCGCATGCGTGTGAGTGCTGCTGCACGTGTTGGCATCCTACCTGCTGTGTGTGACCTGTGTCGCTCACCCAGGCGAGGTGCGGCATCTGTATGTCCCTCTCCTGGTGAGAAGCAGCTGGCACCTCCCAGCCAGGGCGTGCCTTCTGACCCCAGCCCCTGGCCTGTGGGTGGTTCTTGCCTGGGTGTGTACCGAGGGCTGGCCTCCTGGCTCCCCGAGACATCCCCAGGTTGGACGGAAGAAGTCCTGTGGAGGGGGCTCTGCCCTTGGCCAGCTGGGGCTGGGCTCCCTGCAGCACTGAGCAGGCCTGGCCCTCGGAGTGAGTACCCAGCACACTGGCCCTGCAGGGCATCGCTGAGTGCACGGTCCTGAGTGCCACCTGTCTTCCCTTCCAGGGCATCCTGGGCTCAGGGTTTGCCCTCAAAGTGCAGCAGAAGCAGAGGCAGAAGCACTTCAACCGGCAGATCCCAGCAGCAGCGTCCCTCATCCAGGTGCGCACTGCGCTCCGCGCCATGGCTGCCCCCAGAATCGATTGCTCTTGGCCCCACGTGAACCCTGGGCTATGGACCAGCCCAGGGCACAGAGCCCCAGTGGGGAGGCACCTGCTCTCTGGTCACAGGGGCCATGCGAGTGCAGGGCCTGTCTCCCTGCACAGCGGCTCCCACACAGGGCCACCCTGGGGGCAAGGGGACCAGGCATGGCCACGGCCACTGAAAATCTGATGTGGTCAGTCTGTAGGTCCCCTCATCTCCCAGCTGGCCTTAGGCTCCCACTCCTCACCCCCCGTGTCCCAGGGAGGCGGCAAGGTGGGCCTCAGATGGCCATTCCCTGAGAGGACAGGGCCCAGCATCCCTCGGGGCTAGCACTTCCTGGTGAGGGAAGGCAGGGCTGAGGTGGCCGGGCGTCCTGTGGGACTGCCACGTGAGCAGGGAAGGCAGAGAGCAAGGAGGGAAGGAACGCTCCGGAGGCACGGGGAGAGGTTGGACTCCACTGCGGTCAGCCCAGGCCCTCAGGAAAGCACCAGGGAACCACTGGCCCGTCTAGCACGGGCAGAGATCCCGCGCTCAGTGCGGTGGCTGTGGTGCAGCAAGGGCCCCTCTGGGCACCCTGGGCTGAGAGCCCCTCAGGGAAGACCTGGGGGCCTGACCGGCCCAGGCTGACCGAGGTGACCCCTGCAGGCCATTGTCTCCTGAGTTCTCTGCCCTGGCAGTCCCCGCGTGAGAGATGGGCATGGCCAGGGGCCCTGCGTGGCCTGGGACTCCATTTCATTCCTCTGAAGTCCTTCCAGAACCAGCCATCTGGGCCTGGACCTCGTGCCTCAACGGGAAGGAAACGGCAGCAGCCATAAGGCCTGGGGCCATGGCTGCGCTCCCCCCAGGCCTGGCTTTATGGCCCCGTGGTTTCTCCTTTCGGGAAGACCATAAATCAGGCCCATAAAACCTGCCTGGCCGGCGCGGGCAGGGTGCCCACAGCCGGGGGGTGCACTGGATTCCTGTCTGAGCACCGAGGCCTCTTCCCAGGAACTGTGTGTCCTGGGAACATGGGGCTGTGGTGCGAGGACGGTGGGGCCCGAGGTGGCAGGAACGTGAGTGTGGACGCCGCAGGGCGGGCAGCAGGGGACAGGCAGGCGGCTTTGAGTGGGACATGTTGGCCTTGGAAGGGCCTTCCTTCCCTGTCTCCAGGGGGTGTGCGGACTGCACAAGGTGCCTGTCAGGGGGCTGCTGCTATCCCCTGGGAGCGCTGCTAGCTTGTCCCTCTTTCCCAGGCTCACAGGGTAGAAAATGCCAAGGCCACGTGACTGTCCCCACTAGAGGGTCTGGAGCCTACTCTCGCTCCATCCAAACCCCTGGGGCCGCAAGCCTCCCTAGGTCCCCTGGCATGTCTCTGACTCTAGGTCATCCCCTTGGGGCCAGCCATGGGGTCCCTCTAGAATGTAGGCCAAGAGCCTCCTGATAGCTACAAGATGGCGCTGAGGGCCCCTGGAGGACTCCTGCTTCCTGGCCCCTCGGTCCCAAGGGCTCGGCTCCTCCACACCCCAGCCAGGTGCCCACACGGACCCTAGGCACACCCCTTCCTCCCTGTGTGGACCCAGCTATCCAGCCCTGTCCCTGCCCTGTGTGCCCGGGCTGTGCTTCTCAGTTTGCTGAGCGGGGCTGCAGGAGGGGCTCGGGCCTCCCCGGCATCGGAGCTGAGTGGCAGACAGTTGATGCCACTGGTCTGGCTAGCAAGAGCCGAGCCCTCTGGGCAGAAGACTGGGAGCTGGCAGTGGGCTTTCCTGCCACCCAGAGGAGGGGGCCAGACCCTGGGGCTGAGGGTGGGCCACCAGGTGGCTCAGCAGGTGACAGTCCTTCCCTCCTGCCTGGTTTCAGACTGCGTGGCGGTGCTACGCTGCCGAAAACCCCGACTCCTCCACCTGGAAGATCTATGTGCGGAAGCCCAGCCGGAGCCCCGTGCTGCTCTCGCCCAGCCCCAGGCCTAAGAAGTCCGCCATGGTAACCACCCGCACTGCTCTGGGGCAGAGGCTGCCTGTGAGATGGGGCAGCTGGGGCAGCTGGGGCTGGGGCCGCAGGTTTTGGGCTCAGCGCAGTCCACATCAGGGTGTCGGGACAATGCTGGGCCTGGGAGTACCTGTCCCATGCTGGGTCCCTGCCATCCTAATGTCCTGCAGCCTTGGGGCCATGCAGGACTGGCCACACCAAGGCTAAGAGAATGAGAGGTCCAGAAAGAGTGCCCAGGAGCAGGACGGGCTGCATTCTGGTCACCTGCTGGAAGACAGACCCCTGACGGGCACGTGGGCATAGCAGGCAGGGGCGACGGAGGGAGTGCTCTGCCTCAGGAAGGCGCCGGAAGGGCTGGGGTGGCCCTTCCTGGCCCAGGTCCACACTCCTGAGGAGACCTGGCCTCCTGGCCACCTCTGCCCGCACATTCTGCCTGACTCCCACCGCTCCCCCCACTTCCTCCAGGGCCTCGGGGCCATCTCCCCGGGCTCGGCTGACGCGGCCTCGTCACGGTTGCAACCTTGCACGTCCATGTCTGTCAGTGTCCTGAAGTGCGGGACCAGGTCCCTGTGGGCCCTGGCACCTAAAGCCTGCCCCATGAGCCTGCGGGACCCTGCAGGGCCAGGCTCTGGCTGTGGCAGGGGCTCTGGGGCCGCAGCGGGCCGGGTTGGGCCCAGGAACGGCCAATGTTCTGTACGGCTTGCAGGTCAAGAAAAAGAAGTTCAAAGTGGACAAGGATAACGGGGTCAACCCTGGAGAGAAGGTGCTCACGGTCCCCCACATCACCTGCGATCCCCCAGAGGAGCGGAGGCCAGACCACTTCTCTGTCGACGGCTACGACAGCTCTGGTAAGAGACCCACGGGTGGGGCAGCCACTCTGGAAAGCAGTGTAGAGAGGCCTCAGAAGACTAGGGATGCAACCCCCACGCGACCCACTACCTCATCCCTGGGTGCGTTCCCAGGTGATTCAAAATCCACACGGCACAGGGACCAGCCACAGCGATGTTTACAGCAGCACAGCTCATAGCAGCTGCATTGTGGAACCAGCCCAGATGCCCACCAACAGGTGAATGAGTTAAGAAATCGTAGAGATGTATATACTACACAGCCGTGAAAAGGAATGGAATCGTGGCATTTGCTGGTAAATGGCTGGAAATGGAGATTATCGTGCTAAGTGAAATTAGCCAAGCTCAGAAACTCAAACGTTGAACGCTTTCTCTCATATGTGGAAGCAAGAGTAAAATCAAGGAGAGGGTGGGGGAGGACACACGGGGACCCAGGCCAGGTGCCACTTGCTTCCCTGCCTACCCGTGGGCGGTGGCTGGTGGGCTGGGGAGTGGGCCTGCCCTTGAGCACTCTGCAGGTGGAGGCGCTGGGCCTCCCGGGCGTGGCCAGGCGGGGCCCTTCCCACCTCTGGTGACTGACAGCCTCCCTCCACACTAGTGGCTCCACGACAGCACAGTGAGGTGCTGGCTCACTGTCATCTGCGGGCAGTTTGAGTCTGATCCTCAAATCCGAGGTGCTGTCTTCACCAGGTGTAGGTGGGAGGTCACACCCCGCCCAGCCCCATCTCTCCTGACTTCCCTGTGACCGCATCATGTGTCTTCCTCAGGTCGCCCACCCTCCCTCCAGCTCCCCGGGCGTCAGCCCCTTCCGTCCAGTCCCCTACGTGTCCAGACTCTGTCCATGGCTCTGCCATCTCAGTGACCACGCTCTCTTTTCTGCGCACCCTCGAGCGAGGGTGGAGTCCTCCTGACCTCGGCGCCTCCCGTGTCTCACGTTGGTCCTCTGAACAGGCGGACGCCTGGCCTCCGTGCCCTGCACAGGGCCCACCTGGGGGCCCTCCAGTCCGGCTCTGTGTCCTGCTTCCTGCTCTTGCTCTGGGGGCTCCCTTGTGGGCTGAAGCCCAGGTGGGAGCTCGGGCGGGCGGAGGCTCTGAGGGTGGCCTCCTTAGAGCAGCCGAGCCTGCGCTGCACAGTGGCCCGTGAATGCGTGAGTCCCTGGGGTCTCCGTGGGGAGCCAGGCAGTGTAGGTGGAACCCCAGCTCTGGGGCAAGAAGCCAGGCTGCACATGTCCAGAGAGACCAAGGCAGGTGCACCCCACCCGGCTCTCTCCGCTGCGCGTGGACTTGTCTGCTCGCTTGTGTTTCCTGTCCGCTCTTGCCTGCTGGTCCCTGTGGCTTCAGCCTCTCCAGGGCCTACTTTGTCCAGCGTGGGCCTCAGGTATCAGTCCTTGCCTCTTCTCCCTGGGCTCTCAGTGTCGGCCTGTGGCTACTCAGGTGGGCACTCTCCGGAGCCTATGTCCCCACGGCAGGGGCTCTGGGCTTTTAGGGAACCTTGCCCTCAGCAGCCTCCACACTGCGCTTGGCACGGCGCTGTCAGAGAGACTGCTGAGAGACTGGGCTTCAGGCAGGGTCTCATCCAGCAGCCGAAGGCCTCATCTTCGTGCCAGAGCTGTCTGGATGTGGGAGCCTGGTGCCACCTGGGCAGAGGGCTTGGTGCACTCCCTGAGATCATCCCAGCCTCTAGGGGGGCCCAAGAGCCTGCATGTGTAATAGCCCCCAAAGCTCCTGTGCAGCAGGTGGCCTGTGGACTGCACTGGGGAGACCAGGGTGAGGTCAGGCCAGGGCTGGGAGCCCACGTAGGACTTTGGTGACTTCCCCGTCTTTCCACTGGTTTGCTGTCACTGGGAAGGGAGGAAAGACTCCTGTTTGGACAAGAGCTGGCCCCCGGCCCCTCCTGGCATCTGGCCCTCTGCTCTGGGGCCTATATGATGTTATCCAGGGCTTGATTAAGAGCGTTTAGTGGTGACTCTTGACAGCCTCAGGGTCCTGGGGAAGGGGGCTTTAGGCCTCTCAGGCTGCCCCTCTGGGTGGTGGCCAGTAAAGAGGCTGCCCCACTCTGTCCCCTGGCTTCACTTCTCTCCTGGGTCTGGCCTGGTGAGACTCTGTGTCATCCTGTCTTCCCGCCTCCCATGTGCTCTGACCAGACGACAAGCGTGTCCACCTCAGATGGAGGCAGAGGCAGAGGCAGGTGAGGGTCCTCCAGGGATGCCCTGACCCTCCTGGCTCCCAGCCAGTGGTGCAGTGTGACCTGTGAGGACCTGGCTGCACCTCTCCCTCCCACGTGGCCCCACTGAGCATGCCCTGTGCCTACCCACGGCAGGCTCTCAACCTGGGCGGCCTGCCCGAAGGTCCTGTCCACTGCCCGTCTCCTCATGAAAGGTGCCTGCACTCAAGCTCTTGTTCTGGTTAGAAAAGCAGCCTCCTTCTTCACAGAGGCCGACCGGGGTTCAAGAATGCAAGGTTAGTTTGACATTCTTCCAAGACCAACGTGATGAGCCATATTTATGACAACTGAAAGCAGAGCCGGCAACCACTCATTACGAAGCCTCTCACTGAGCAGAGAACAGCCTTTTCCACCTGCTCTAGGTCACTGACCAAAAGCCACAGTCAGCACACTTAGTGGAGAAATGCCGCTGCCCCTCAGGATCAGGGGCACAACGCGAACGTCCCCTCCTTCAGCTTCCTGTTAAACACTGAGCTGCAGATGGCCGTCTGTAGAATAAGCCAAGAGGCAGAAACTTCAGACATTGGGTTGAAAAAGACGAAGTGCAACTGCCTTTATTTGAATATCTCATGGTTTGTGGAGAATCTGATGATACGCAAGACACCCTGGGACTGTGATGTGGATCAGACTGCACACGTCCACACTGCCTCTAAAGCACAGCAGCACATGACCTCGAATTTGAGAATTGTGAACACCACTTAACGTAGCACAAAACATGTGGAACACTTAGAGATTAATCTGGCAAAGAATACAAAAGAGTTGTGCTCTGGAACCTACAAAACTGTGCTGAAGGAAATTAGCGAGAATCTGAATGAGTGGAGAGACACACCATGTCCACAGAGCACGAGGCGCAGGTCATCTCTAGGTGCAGAGGAACACCAGTCAAATCCCAGCCTGCACCGTTCAGACGACCTCAGAGCTGGGAGACCAGCCTTGGTGGCAGGGCCTCAGCAGAACCGTCGGCTCATAGACCTATGGAGCGGAGCAGAGGGCCCAGTGGACCCGCATGGACAATCCAGGTATGAAGGCAACTCAGGGAGAAAGGAAGGTCCTTTTAACATCTTGGAACAACTGAAAGCCACGTGCCAAGAAATGAACTTGGATCCACACTCTACACAATACACAAAACGTGTCGTACAACCAGATTCAAAGCCTAAAATTATAGCAGAAAACAGGATCCTTAAGGAGGATTTCTTAGGTATGACAGCAAAAAGCAGAGCCATCGTCAGCTCCAGCTGATCAACGGGACTCACCCAGTCTAAACCTCCTCTTCAGAAGGCCCTAGGAGGAGAACGGGGAGACAGACCAGAGGCTGAGAAGAGACACCGTGTCATCATCGGACAAGAGATTTGTATCTGGAAGGTAAAAAGGACTCTCAAAGCAGAATAATAACACAAAGAACAAATCACAAAAATGGACATTCACCAAATGAGACCCACGCGGAAGAACAGAGAAGATGCCCACCGACTGTAAGAGGAGCAACTTAGAACCAGTGAGCTACTGCCACGCAGTGCTGACGCTGGCCAGGACTTTGGGACCTGGGCCTCCTGGCAGCGCAGCCGCTCTGGCCAAGAGGCAGGCAGCGCCTGGACCCACCTAGTTTTCATGTACCGACTGTCCAGCCAGTCTGTCCCTAGGTGGCCACTTGACGGGGAGAAACAAGGGCAGAGGAGCTCATCAGGGCTGGAGATGGCGTGAAAACTGGAAACAGCCCAGAAACCATGGGCCCGAGGGGACTCCTGGAACTCGTGGAACCCTGTTCAGCACAGGAATGAGCTCTTATCACCCCCACACGGGAACCGCGGAGTCACCGCGGCGAGTGGAAGAAGCCAAGACGGAGTGCAGATCCGCCTTCCTGCTTGACCCACCACCTAGAAGCCCAAGAGCAACCGAGAGGCCGAGGCCAGTGACTCCCAGGGCAGGGCAGCGGGTGTCCCATGGTCTCAACAGGGGCAGCGGTATCTTCACACACCAAAAGCCACCACCGTGCAATTTATCATTTGTCATCTAGCTCACAAAATGTTTTAAAAACATTAAAATAGGAAAAAAATTTGCACAGCAAAAAATAACCCCCCAATTTTTTAAGTGAAATCTGAGGCAACTGTCACTACTCATAAGACACGTGGCAATTTCACCAGTGTATTTTAAAAGCACTCCTGAGTCGAGGTGAAGAAGGAAGGAATGCAAACAGTTCCCAGGAAAGGGAGCGCCGTGCACAATCAGGTTGAAAAGCGGGCGGTGCTGACGGAAACAGGGGTGTCTTTGCTCGTCTGACCACCGAATATGGAGGTTTGAGGATGCTCTGTGGGTGGTGTAGAGGGAAACACTCGGCCCCGTCACGCGTCGGAACAAAAAGTGGACACGACTCAGCTGGCAGTTTGGTGGACAGGACGAGGCACGTGACTTTCAGTGGACGCGCACGCCTTGGCAGAGCACTGCGGGCCACAGGTGCACCGCAGGGAGGCTCTGCTTAGACGGCGGGCATGGTGCACCCAGGAGCAGCCAGCCTCTGGAGCTGCCCCCTTGGCACCGAGAGGGACGTGCCGAGGTTCGATCCTAGAAACAGCGGCTCCTTCAGGTCGGGGGAGTTGCTCTAGCTATCGAGGGTGTGCAGGTTCAGGATTTTACACACTGGAGAGCCGTCTGCCTTGCTGCACATCCCAGAGCAGGTGGAAGGACAGTAGCGCTGTCTGCTCGACAGTTAAGTAGAACTAAGGTATACATGCACCCGTGCCCGCCAGGTGCAGGGGCCACCCTTGTAATCCCAGCTGGGGAGGCTG